TTCTGATTTTCCCAATAAACTCACTTACCAATTGCAATTTTGTTGGTGCTGTGCAAAAGTCCATCCTGACACATTATTCTGACACAACAACGGTACATGTGGCAAACACACACAAACACACACAACTATAATAAACCCTAATATAGCCTGTGAATACACCAGAATTACAGTATAAAGGAGGTGAAGTATGATGGAATAGTTTTGCAGTCCATTAGTTAAATACATAAACATAACCTATAAAACAATACACTCTGTTAGTTTTGTTTTCCAACAAAAATTCATTAAAAACAATATGAATAACAATAGCCTACTCTATTTAAATATATATAGGTCAAAAGTAAATTTCCATTCTTAACTGAGTATATAATATAATAATATAAATACAGTATACATTTATAAACCCTAACTACATCAGATTATTTCATTAGCTACAGGTTTGAAATCATTATCCAATAAAATGCATTCTCTGTTTCTTTTAAGCAAATGTTTTATGATTGATTCAGAAACACCAGGATATCTGTGGGACACTAGTGACCTCTGATCACCTTAGAATTAGTGATATATAATGCCGAAAATGTGTAAACTTATTCAGCTTTTCTTATCCAGTCCCTCTGGACAAGAACATAAATGCTCAAAAGGTACTGAGGTGTCAGTGCGCTGTATTTCTGTAAGTTTCACTGTACAATTCTTTAAAAAGCTTTGATTTGATTTGATTTGATTTATTCTTTCAAACATGCAGAACAAATGACATCAACACACACATAATTACACAAATCCAACCAATGCTAATCCAGAATCAGTTTGCTTATACCTAGTACATGCTTGAATGGAGTAGGAAGAAGTCAGACTTATCCAGTCCTACCCCATAACATCATCTTATACAAAAAATTTCATGCATCATTGGCTGCAAGCAGTATCTCTACATAGGTAATTCTCTTCTTCACCAAACAAGTAATACACAGAAAATTTAAAACAGAGTGTTTCCTTCATGCATTCTTGATTAAATCTCTTATTCTTGCATATATCTTGAATGACACATACATTTATATTTATATTTAAACTCCTCAATTCTAGTACTGTTCTTCATGTGCACACTTAAATTATTCCATAATTTGACCCCACTTATAGAAATACAAAATCTTTTTTTGGTTGTACGTATAGCATGAACTTTTAGATTTAACTGACCCCTTAAATTA